TAAAGTGTGATTTTATCTTATGTTGTTGCCCTGGACACATTTTTGTGACAATTTGGTTTTACCACTTTTTATACTAGAAGGAGAATGTGAATGAATCTATATTTTTTGTTTTGCTTCAAATTGGATTTATAAGTGAGTTCATTTATATCCAGTGTAGCTGTATAATTAGCATTGATTGCCCTGTGACGCTTTTGTTGCAGTTTTACAAAACTGTAAATATCCAAGAAATGTTGAAGTGTTTATTGGAGGACCTCACACTATTAGCTAACTGTCTAGCTTTGAATAACTCATTGTAATGACAGTATAGCAGTTATACACAGGAATTTATGACTCCGAGATCAAAAAGTAGCTGTTGGGTTGCCAATAACAGTATATGCTGAAACCCTAGTGTGGTAAAGCCGCTTGTGTTTGCTTGAAAGTGGCAGGCCGCTGTCAGACTGTCACACCCCTCGTTTTACGACAAGTACTGCCATCTTTACTGACACTTTACTGAATCTGGCCCAACACAGCACTGAAAATAAAGCACAAAACGCTCTGTTCTGGGCTACTGTAGAAACATGGCGGACACCTGGCTGATGTTTAAAGAAAGACTGATGAAATAATTATCTTATCCTTTAAGGACTTCATCTGTATAATGTTGTAAAAACAAAGTAGGACCTGAGCTCCTCAGCTCTCTTCGTCCTCTCTTCCTCCAGCTCGCTCTTCATCCTCTCCTCTGTCTGCTCCCTCTCTTCCCGCTTCCTCTCCTCTTCCTCACGCTCTCTCCTCTTCCTCTCCACCTCCTGTCTCCGTCGCACTGCTCGCTGAGCCAGACGCAGAGCTGCAGCCTCCTCCTCCTCCTCCGCATGACTCTTCCTGGGCCTGGAGGACTAAAACACACACACACACACACACACACACACACACATAGTACATTGAGTGAAAATATGGGTAATAATATTTTTATTACCAATAATCATATAATTAGATCATTTTCGTTAAACTATCAGTGAGACATTAGGGAGGCTGCAAACATGTAAATCAAACACATGACAAACTGCTGTATATTCTGTGTGTGTACTTCCTACCAACCTCTGGCTTTACTGGGTTCAGCATCAGCTGTTCCTCTGTTACCATGACAGTTGAACATGATGACAGGCGGCCACGTGATGAAGCGAGTCCCATGGCGTTGGCTGGCACCGCCTCCTCCCAGGAAGAGGCAGCTGACCTCCTCAGACTCCTGTGATTGAGCTGGGACGCAGCGGCAGTGGACCTGAGCGAGCTCACTGATCGGACGCTGCTGTATCGGTCAGTGTCACTGGAAAGATGATCTGTGTCTATGTCTGTGCCTTCGTCTGAATTTGTGTTTGTTTTGTCATCAGGTCTCTGTGTTGCAGAGGGCCTTCTGGTGAGGTGAGACTCCTCCTCGATATCCTGATTAATCTCCACCTCTTCTTTCTCATGGTTTCCTATGAGAAAGAAAGACAAGATTGCAAAAGAAAGCGCATGCCACACATGTAAATATATAGCTATTTACTCGAGTATAAGGTATGTCAATCAGTACATCAGTATTGTGTTTGTGTGGGTGACAGATCAGGGTTTACTGTGAATGAAATGCATTACCCTTTGTCTCTAAATTAGAGCTTCAGAGGAGTCAGCACAGCTGACTTATACACAACAATCTTTACTGTAGTAAAACATTTTAATACATGCTGGATACAGTGTGTGAATTAGACCCCATTGACTACTATTGGAATGAAGTTTGAAAAATGTTTAAAAGTCCTATGCTGGCAAAATCCTTGTGGAGCCTATTTCTTGTCGTTGTTATCTGAATGACTTTTCAAGTTCTTTTGTGGTTCGGTGACATAAGACAATTTCATTGCTGTAGGATCAACTAAAAAATCTCTGTGCCAAGTGTTTTTTTTTTTTTTTTTGCAATGTCTTACCGACAAATGACTCTTTGTGTTTCAGCCTTCCTTTTTTCCTGCTCCTCCCAGCAGACTCTTGCCTCTCCACTTCTCCTCGCTCTTCTTTCTCCTTATTCATTGTCTCTTCTCCTCCATCTCCTTCCCTGGCTGTCCTCTTCTTTTTCTGAAAGACAGACAAGTAAATTGTAAACCTGAATGGGATCTCTTTCTATGCCTTGCTTTTAAACAGATACAGCTGTTCCTACAGAAGGGAGAGTAGAATGGTCCTGAGTCTCTGCAGCATCCCTGTTGGACCTTTCCTCTTGTTTCTTGCTCCTGATTGATTGAACGTCACTTCCTGTCTTTTGTCTCCGCCATCTTCCTTCCTTCCTTCTCCTCGATGTCTTCTGGTCATCTGATTCTGGTCTCACTGTTTTCATGTCCCTTTTCCTAAATAAATGGAGGACATGTGTTTGTTAAACAATCTGTAATGTTTTAATCTCATAAAAGTTTGTGAGTATTCCTACTTCACCCTGTGGTTATTGCAGCTTCCTCAGCATCCGTCCTCTTAGTATTCTTCCTCTTTTTGTCCACAGCGTCCTCTGCTGTTGCTTTATTTGGGTTGACGTTCTGCTCACTGCCTGATGCATCGCCTTTGAACCGCTGCTTCTCTCTGGACAAACGGACCAACTCCAAATGTTTCACATTTCCATTTTAACACCAAACATCAGTCAGTATATGGCTGTGGGATTCTGTTGCTTTGCAACATCACAGACATAAAGGATTACTCTCAAAATGTTTATTTCAAAGTAAAATTATTTTAGTATATTGGTGCTAGACAATCATTTAAACTGAAGACTGATCCACATAGAGAGACATCTTCAATGTCCATGATCAGGATATAAAAGCTGCGGTAAACAGGGGAAATATGTAGTGTTGGTTGACGCCAGCCTCTTGTTTGTCTGCTGGATTGGAGAAGTGGCAAAGAGGGTTCACGTATATCTAATAAAACTTCAGTTTCTGGGAAATCTGACAGATTTCTACATTTACACATGTATAAAAGTGAATTATACCAACCCTGGCTGATGCAATCCAGATGAATGGAGAGTCTGTACTTCACTGTCCAGCTCTTCCTCCTCCTCCTCCTCCTCCTCCTCCTCCTCCTCCTCCTCCTCAGTGTAGTCTCCTCTTGGCTCCTCCTTTCCTACCCGCTCCCTCAGTGGAGGCATCCTCACCCTGTTTTTAGGATTCTTTTTTGATGCCTTCCATGTTTCCGCCACTGCCTCTGCACTCTTTGTTTTTTTCTTGGTCACAGCCACTAGAAAGGTAAACAAAAAGTTTTTATAACATATTCATTCAAATTTATATTATGCTAAAATAGGCCGCAGAGATTTACCTGGGTCTGTGCGGCTGCTGGGTGAGCATGCATTAGTCTCTGTCCATCTGTGAAGATCTAAGAGCTGGTCGGATACAAAATTGAAACATCCAACAAATAGTGACAGATCAATATACAATACAATTACAGCAGACATAACGGACACTCAATACTACTAAGGCTAGTATAAAAAATACATACACACATAGTTTTCACAGGACAGTGATAATAATCTTTACAGCAATTGTTTTATGGATTTGGGACACTGATACATTTCATTCAGATATGCTTAAAGTCATTTTGGGACTGCACTGTAGTGCCCTCTGTTGAAATTGTTTTTAGCTTCATTAGCAATTAGTATTGTTTTTGCTTTGTTACTGCTATAAAAAAGCCACCATACTCTGGAATAGACAATAAGCAAAATCATAAAAACAGACATGGTAGTAAAAACATTATATTCATAAAGAACTGCACTGAGTGAACACTGCTTTACTTTTGTTGGAGCTATAGGAATATGGCCCTAAGCTTGGCAGACACATGCCCGAGTGTTAAACTTTTAGAAGGTCAGTCAAAAATATCAATTCACCTTGTCTATTGACTGATGGTGCTGGATGTCGCCCAGAGGAACGTCTGTGCTCAGCTCCACCCCTTCTTCTGCACACATATACAATGAACAGGCAATGGTTAAAGCGAAGAGAAACACTGTCATGGGTGGGAGTTCTAACTTTTAAATATTTTTTTAAGACAGAAGAACATCTTAAGAGAGTTCCTTACAATTACATGAAAATAAGTATAGTGTCCTTCAACCCCTCTCCCAACACCCTAAAATACAGAAATGCTGCATATAGTGCACTAAGACTTTATGAAAAATAAAGAAACGGAAAAAAATTCAGATAATTATTTTCAATTTTCAACAGTGAAGGTAAGTTGTCCACTGATCAGAAAGTTGGCGGTTCGATCCACTGCATGTCAAAGTGTCCTTGGGCAAGATACTGAACCCAAATTGCTCCCGATGGTATTCAGATTTGCAAATATGTGGACATATCTGTAAATGTGTATATAGATCTGACAATGTGTACACAAATCTGTAAGTGCAGACATATATATTAATGGCTGGAAATCTAAGTATTTGCTCGAAGAGCTGGAAATCTCTTTTTCACACCTTGACAAATTTGATTATGCACAAACAGATTCTGAACACACATTCGCAGATTCCTGTACCCATTCACAAATTTCAATACATATTTCCAGGTTATTTTACACATGAACAAATCTGATTACGCACACACAGATTGAGATACAGTTACACCACTCTCCACTCATTTGTGAATAGTTTTGCACTGTGTGAATCAGTGAATGTGACATAAAATGCTTTGAGTTGTTGGAAGACACGATGTAAGTGCAGTTCATTTACCATTTACAAATAACCCCAAGAATGTGTGTGTGTGTGTGTGTGTGTGTGTGTGTGTGTGTGTGTGTGTGTGTGTGGTGCACATACAGTACAGTATATAGACCTGTATGTGTATGTTCAGGCTGCAGGACAATGACCCAGGGTAACGTCTCTCCTTCTGAAGACATAACCTGGAGAGCTGAGGGACAGGAAGAGTGAGTTACTGATAACTACTGCAAGTCTTCACCATACTCTAATGTTGATTTGAAAAATGTGTTACAAACTGAGTCTCACCTTGCTCCTGTGTGTCACCACCACCCTGAGATGGGTCCTGGCTGTTGTCGAACAGGGACAGTTGTATGATCTCCCCATCGGGACCCAGGATCAGGCTGCCAACAGATTCACCGTTCTGCAAATCTGACAAAACACAACAACTCTGAGGAACAGAGACAATCACAAAGGTAGGTTAAATGTGTCATATGCCCTGCGGATAGTAAAGACCCTTGAGGCAAATTTGTGATTTGTTATGTAAATAAAACTGACTAAAAAACTAAATAACTAAAAATTAAACTTAAAAAAGTTTGGACCCATTGTTTCCTTGTGACAAATTCACTTTATAAAAGAAAGAAACAAAACTTAGATAAGATGAGGTTACATTAAACACATAGAGTGGCTACAGTCCATTTCACTGGAATCTTACAAAGTAGGAAATAGGTAACATAGTTTCATGTTTTGTCAAGATCGTGTAGCCCCATACCTCTCAGCTCCAGAGGCAGAACACCCCTGACCACACCTCTGCTAGCATCGCTAGATTCACAGGGATCCTGGTTCTGTAAGAAGGCCAGAGAGCTCTGCTTTCCCGGGCCTTTCCGTCCTGCAACACAACCCAACACCCCTACAGGAGGACGAGGCTCTGAAGGAGAAGACCCAGAATAAGAGAAGTTAGTGTGATGAACACAAAAAGAAACTTATCTACATAATCTTGTGTTTAAACCCCAACATTTCCAATTCACTGGAAGTAACTAAAGTAACTAAAAGAGATTATCCCAACAATGAGTGGACTTTTTGCAAAGGGACATCTCAAAAGCGTGTTCTTTGCATGAGGTCCTGGATTCAATCCCCAGAATGTGCACTTCTTTAAAATGATTTTAAAAAATCTTTAGAAAGAGAGTGCTTTAAACACATTACAGTGTGTCATGTGGCTGTTGAGCTGAGTTTGGTTTGGCAGAATTACATTTGCACTCATGTTACAGCATTAGTTCAGAAACTGGATAACTTATGAGACTGAATATATCATTTCACATACAAACTCCAGCTTGTATATGTTTGTGGTACCTTCTCCAGGCTCCAGCAGAATCATAGAGCCTTTCTCAGTGGTTACCCTTCCTCCTCCGTCTCCTTCTCTTCCTCCCTTTCGCTGCCCTGCTGTTTCTTTTTTAAAGCGCTGTCTCTCTGTTTTTTCTCCTCCTCTTCGCTTCCCATTTATCTCATCTGACAGACACAAGGAGAAAGAGTCCGAATATACAGCACCTCCACAATGGCTAGTAGTTCAAGTTGTCAACTCCTGTGTTCTTAACGGTTGTAACATTTTACTCACCGGAAGCTTGTGGCACCAGCTTTGTAAACTTTGAATATATCATATCTATATATTATAATTAAATTACATTTCAAAACAATAAAACAATCTAAACATTTCGCCAATAACATTATCGGTTTGGTAGGCACTACATCAGTACCACATCTGACACAAACATATTTAACCACATATAAATAAAGCAAATTTAATATATTGTTTTCCTTCCGAAACTAGCAACCACACATGAATAAGTCACAGTAAACTGAGATTTCAGAAACTTCTCCTGCAACAAAATGGTTTAAATAAGGAAAGATCGTAATTATGGTTAAATGTTAAAAAATCTTATGTTTCCAGTCACTGCTGGCTATATTTCAGTAATAGTATTACTGTTAACCCCCAAAATGTAATTATTTACAACATTACTTTTGTTGGCACCCCCCTATTGATCACATCCAATCACATGCTTGGATTATTTTTTGTAACCATGAAGGAATGTAGTTTGGAAGATGGAAACACTTATATTCAGTGGCTGGAAATATTCCCATTACTTTGATTTTAACAAACACAACTGGATTTTAATAGTCGTAAATCTGAATGACAAACAATCTATCCATCCACCAAGTTAGTGTGTTTGTAGTCTTCCTCTGTGTGTGTCTTTGTTACCCTCCTTCCCAGGAAACAGCAGAGGAAGAAACGGAGCCTGCTGGTGGAGTCGACTCAGATTTTCCTGGGATTGAGACCCAACTCTGTCTGCCTTTGGTGGTGCATCCTGCTGGGTCTGAGCCTGGATAGCCTGGTTGGGGACAACAGTACGACTCTCTGCTATGGGAGGTAGGCGCTGTGCATGCTGGTCATCACTGCTGGGGCGCTCCCATCCTGGCTGAAACATTCAACAGACACGTTCATGCTATTTGGAGGTTTTGCTCTCAGAAAATGTAATGGCACACGGGGACAATGCTTCTTTCAATGAACAAATAATCGTAGTTCTGATATAACTGATGCCAGCAGCATCTACAGTGAACTCTATGTGCTGCCCCGTAGCTGCCAGTACTTCCCCAAAGGACACTGACTGGTTGGGCACCACTGCACAGACCACTTGTCCCACAAAATAAACTTTTTATTTCACTAGCAGTTTGTGTGGTGCCTCTATCTAGGAAGAAATACCTGATGGCGCACAAGTGTAGTTATATGCTGTTGTGATACTACTAAGTCAACTACTTGCAACCTGAGTGGGTGAGCACTGAGTTACTGTTAATGGTTATTTTCTATTGTGGAAAATATTATCATACAGTATGTGCATCTTAGCAACATTGATACGTTTTTTGGCCTGACAGTTGCTTAACTGTACTTGAAACTGCTGTCTTACCCTGTCTGTCTTCTCCAAGCAGGACCCGTGGCTGACTGACTGTCCCACTGTCAGAGGAGGAAGGAGGCCTGTGTGTGGGGATCATCAGGGTTATCAACATGTAGTGTAGACAAATTAAAGATTTGGTTTTATTACTTTGCTTTTGCTATCAGCCTACTACTACTTCTATTACTACTACTAAAATGTTGCCTAACTTTGGAGCGTTATTTAGTTTTCCCCTCATGGATGCGTTAGGTCATCTAGTTTTATATGATACCAGTATCTTCACTAAAACAGAGCTACAGCCTGTGAAAGATGGAGGGAGTGGCAAAGGTAAGGATAATGCGCTGGCACTTGTGGCCAGTCAGATTTCACACCACTGTTTGTTTAGACTCATCTGTATCTCGGCACTTCAGCAGTTCAGGAAAATTTTGTTTTCATTTGATAAAGTGAAGAAGAAGGTGAGTACATGAAGATAGCTTGCATTTCAGGACATCTCGTTGACTTAAATTCATTACACATTTACAACTTCAAATTAGGACATCAATTTGGTTTGTTACAAGAGACCATACACACACACCTGTCCTCCCATGTCTGTTCACGTTCATCGATCTTTCATAGCTGCCTTTATCACTGGTTATTTCACTATCTTGAATAGAACAGCCTTGATCATCTGGCGCGTAACTGTCACAGTTCATGTTTGGATGATGGAGGTCCACTCCCATACTGTGATGGTTTATTTCAGTCTGCTGTGAACTTTCATTATGCGGCAGACTCCTGTCTGAGTGAGTCTGTGGCTGGTAGGAAAGACATTTTGCTAATGAATTAAATAACATCAAAAATAGAATCATTCCAACAACTCATATACATTTCCAAGCATAAAGAGCATTAACAAATGTCTTTAGATGCAACATCAGACATTTCACCTGAGCTTCTTCTTCTTCAGGGGTCACTGTTACGTAGTGTACCCAGGGCTGAAGTTCCATTTGTGGAGTTGGAGTCCTGGCGGTTCTGGGTATCTGGAGGAACACATCCAGCCTGATTCTCTTCCTGTTGTGTTGCTCCACCTCTTTATCTGCAGAGAAGCTGATTGTTAGGATCTCACCATACTGGGTTGCTTTCAATAGGTTTGGGAGAGTCAACATTTTGCCATTTCCCTTGCTTACGGAATACTATAACAGAGGGGTGGGGTCAGGGTTCCCAGTGTTACAACATAACTACAGATGCATATTTTGCCCCCTCACTTTTAATTTTGTGGGTTCCACCAGAGTTTCTGTTTTGGCCTTTTGTTGGCTTTATTGATAGACAGCTGTAGAGAGGGGGATGGCACGCAGCAAAGGGCCGCAGGTCGGATTCGAAACCCGGGCCAATTCAGCAACTCCATACATGGGTCGCCAGCTCTACCGACTGAGCAAACCGGCCTCCCCTGTTTTGGACTTTTAATCTCCACCAATATCAGTCTATATCAACACATCTGTCTGTTTTTTACCCTCAGGTTGACTCTCCAGTTGTTCAGTGTTTCTCGTTGCAGGAAGCGTCTGGGGGTTAAACTGTACAGGCAGCTGTTTACTGGACTGCTCTCGTGTGGTGTGAATGGGCAGAGGACTGGGACGATGAAGGTCTGCAGCAAGAGGGAGACGAAGAGGAGGAACGAAAGCTGGACCAAGTCTGGAGGAGGTGAACTGGAGGGAAGACAAATGTTAGCCTTGTAAAATTGCTAGCAAAGGATGGAGAAGGTTGCAGAAGGACTGGGTCAAAGTTAAGCAAAAGGGGATCCAACTGTGACTGCTCCATATGGGAGAAAAAGTTTAGCATGTTTGCTAAAAACAACTGCGTGGTTACTGGGAACAGGGTTGAGGACAGCACTAAGACACTGGGCCAATTTTGAAATAATTCACACATAAACACTTAATGTGTTTTACTTTGTAAAAATCCTGCTCAGTAGTATGAACTGAACTGTGGTCAGTCAGGTGAGCCTAGGAACCTGTACACCTGAATCGCAGATTTTAACTCACAAAACCTTTGTGATACATGTAAGTTGTAGAATTGTAAAGCTCCAGTGTATTCATAGGTATGTTTTTATTAGTGTATAATAACTTGACACTAAGAAGCAGAACTCTCTGGCCTGTCTTTTAGAGGCGGGTTGCCTTCCTTGGAGTCCAGTGTGTTGAACTGCCATGTTTCTACAGTAGCCCAGAATGGACAAACCAAACACTGGTTGTACATATGTCCATTTGCAATTTTGTGCATCTCGTATTATTCCTGATGTATTGCACCTACCTGATTGTTGCTGTAGTTCAAAATGGCTGCCGTTAGTTCCTTGAGTGTGCTCAGCTGCTGTTCCATATGTTGGCTGTACCGCTGAACAACCCGCTGCTTCCTGTTTCTTGTTTCTGAGTGACAACTGGTTTCCATAGTAACCAAGTCCTGGGGACAGAGGAAGGTGGAAGAAATCATCTAGAGGTTTCTGTTTGTAAAAGGTCTGTGTAGTGCCATATAATGTTTTCAGTAGAGGTTTGGCAGTTGTATCTGTCTTGTTAACTGTGCAACTGTGTCAAATGTCCCTTGTTACCTATTGGCCATAACTGTACTTACTTGTGTACGCACAGAGAGTTACCTGGGAGTACAGCAGAAGTGCCCCCCTGCGAGTGCTGTAAGTCTTTGGAAGGGTTGACTCTGCCTCTACAAGCAGACGGCCTCCATTGGACAGTCGCAAGAGAGAGTCCTGGGACTTCCAGATGTAGTAATCCTATAGGTCAAATATGCATCGTTATGATGAATGAAATGATTGATCTGGATTAATTCATTCATGTATAAACTGATTTACTCATTTACTGATGGATTCATTGGTTTCTTGACCTTTACAAGAAGGTTGAATTCATTTAATATATTCCATAACAAAGACAGTAATCCAGCAAAAACAATCTGACCAATACCAAAACTTAAAGTGTAACTAAATCGTGACCAGACTGACGAAAGCTCAGTACAGCAGAATCGATCAACAACATATAAGCTGATAAAATTAGGGTTTGGGGGTTTAATTACTCTTGAAGTGTATTTTGGTGCTAACAGCTGTACAATACTAATATGTATTCCAACATTAAAGATGGTACAGCCTTTGTGACTGTGTGAGAACCTGCGGTGTAAAGCAGACGTCCAGCCGTCCATAATGTGTCCCTGTGTTTCTGTTGGACGAGACAAAGCGACCACACCCCCGGCTCAGCAGGGACAGAGGCAAATCCTTCATGATGTCATTTCGTCCTGGAGGATGGGCGATTCAAGGAGGATAAGACTTAATTATGTTATTCCATAGATTCCAAAGTAAGCAAGATATTGATAGTGCTATATCAGGATAATGCTGACTTGATTTGGTTTGTTTTCTCCTTATGTATGTCTGTAAGTGTTACATACAACATATCTCTCAATGTGTATGTTACTGTGAGAGGCAACCTACAGTGGGTACGGAAAGTATTCAGATCCCTTTAAATTTTTCACTCTTTGTGTCATTGCAGCCATTTGCTAAAATCAAAAAAGTTAAATTTTATTTCTCATTTATGTACACTCAGCACCCCATCTTGACAGAAAAAAAAACAAATGTAAAAATTTTTGCAAATTTATTAAAAAAGAAAAACTGAAATATCACATGGTCATAAGTATTCAGACCCTTTGCTCAGTATTGAGTAGAAGCACCCTTTTGAGCTAGTACAGCCATGAGTCTTGGGAATGATGCAACAAGTTTTTCACACCTGGATTTGGGGATCCTCTGCCACTCTTCCTTGCAGATCCTCTCCAGTTCTGTCAGGTTGGATGGTGAACGTTGGTGGACAGCCATTTTCAGATCTCTCCAGAGATGCTCAATTGGGTTTAGGTCAGGGCTCTGGCTGGGCCAGTCAACAATGGTCACAGAGGTTCTGAAGCCACTCCTTTGTTATTTTAGCTGTGTGCTTAGGGTCATTGTCTTGTTGGAAGGTGAACCTTCGGCCCAGTCTGAGGTCCTGAGCACTCTGGAAGAGGTTTTCTTCCAGGAAATCTCTGTACTTGGCCGCATTCATCTTTCCTTCAATTGCAACCAGTCGTCCTGTCCCTGCAGCTGAAAAACATCCCCATAGCCTGGTGCTGCCACCACCATGTTTCACTGTTGGGATTGTATTGGGCAGGTGATGAGCAGTGCCTGGTTTTCTCCACACATACTGCTTAGAATTAACGCCAAAAAGTTTAATCTTGGTCTCATCAGACCAGAGAATCTTATTTCTCATAGTCTGGGAGTCCTTCATGTGTTTTTTGGCAAACTCTATGCGGGCTTTCATATGTCTTGCACTGAGGAGAGGCTTCCGTCGGGCCACTCTGCCATAAAGCCCCGACTGGTGCAGGGCTGCAGTGATAGCTGACTTTGTGGAACTTTCTCCCATCTCCCTACTGCATCTCTGGAGCTCAGCCACAGTGATCTTTGGGTTCTTCTTTACCTCTCTCACCAAGGCTCTTCTCCCACGATTGCTCAGTTTGGCTGGACGGCCAGGTCTAGGAAGAGTTCTGGTCGTCCCAAACTTCTTCCATTTAAGGATTATGGAGGCCAATGTGCTCTTAGGAACCTTGAGTGCTGCAGAAATTCTTTTGTAACCTTGGCCAGATCTGTGCCTTGCCACAATTATGTCTCTGAGCTCCTTGGGCAGTTCCTTCGACCTCATGATTCTCATTTGCTCTGACATGCACTGTGAGCTGTAAGGTCTTATATAGATAGGTGTGTGCCTTTCCTAATCAAGTCCAATCAGTTTAATTAAACACAGCTAGACTCCAATGAAGGAGCAGAACCATCTCAAGGAGGATCAGAAGAAATGGACAGCATGTGAGTTAAATATGAGTGTCACAGCAAAGGGTCTGAATACTTATGACCATGTGATATTTCAGTCTTTCTTTTTTAATAAATTTGCAAAAATTTCTAAATTTCTGTTTTTTTCTGTCAAGATGGGGTGCTGAGTGTACATTAATGAGAAATAAAACGAACTTTTTTGATTTTAGCAAATGGCTGCAATGAAACAAAGAGTGAAAAATTTAAAGGGGTCTGAATACTTTCCGTACCCACTGTATCTAGGTGTTCATTATTTTTTAAGATCTGTGGTAAATGTTCTAGTCCTTCAATTGTGGAAGGACCTACATATTGTCATTCTATCTAAGTCACTTGTACCTCACTCACTAAAACTACAGATGATTTTGTGGTTCATGTTTAGCTGCAGTAAGAAACTTTTATAAAAATAACTTTTTGTCATATTTACTAAAACTTTGACATTCTCCTGATCGTAATATGTAAGACAAATAATCTGAGAAAAAATGAGGTTCCTCTGGCTCGTTCTAGTTCTCCTAATGGTATTTGCAAGAATCCACCGAGCCTGAACGAAAACAACCAATCAGAGCCGAGAAAGATAGAAAGACGTTTTGGGTTGGTGGCTTGAAGATAGTTGTTTGTTGAGTTTCCTTCTAAGTGTCACTATTTTACGACCTGGGAATGAGATTCAACAATGAACTATCTTTCAGGTGATTTTTGAATTTATTTTTTAAAATCACCTACTGCAGCTTTAATTCAATTACTTTGGTGCTCATAAGTAACTATTTCTTCGACCATGCTGTTTACCTCCTGTATTTTAAGCAAAAAATAAATGAATAAATGACTTCAATAGATTTAAGACATTTTATATCTTATTCACATGTTATGTAATCTTTACAGTGTATGTTGTTATACATATAGTAGAAATAGAAAACAGCAGATAACCATTATCAATTTTCCAGGAATGGCAACCAAAGATATTGTCCCACTTAAGTCATCAAATCAGACATTTCCAAATGTCATACATACAATGTCGGTAAAAAATAACCTTTACTGAGGTACTGGGTGCAAAAAAAGTTTAAGATTAAAAAAAGGAAAGCACCAGTGCTAATATGTAAAGTAATTGCAGAGAGCAGTTCATTACCTCAGAATGTTTGTAGCCCATCTGCCTTACTACACTATAACAGGGACAATATTGCCTTTAATGCAACAAATGGATATAAATCACAGAAGACAGCAAACTTCCAGTAAAAGTCATGAATCATCAAGCTTTCTGTTTAGGTAGTCTTCATTCAGACTGAACGAGTGAACACATAAACTTAATTTCCTCAATCACCAACATTGTAATAGCCATCATTGAGGAGGTAAAGGATTAGAGCCCTGAAAATATACCTGAGAAAGTATTGTCTGCAAAAAGTTTAGTAAGTAAAGGAGATTTAGATTTTGTGTGTTGGTAGTTTATCAGTTTATCGTTGCAGCTTGATTAGTATCATGTTAAAGCAGAATTAAACATAAAAGAGAAAACATTGGACGTACCTGCTGTGTCCCTCACAAAGACTTCCCTCTGTGTGTGTGTGTGTGTGTGTGTGTGTGTGTGTGTGTATGTGTGTATGTTCAATTCCTGTTGCTAGGTTTTCCAGAGTTGGCACTTTGTGTTTGGGTTGCTGTGGCTGCAGTGAACACACACGCAAAAAGAAACGGAAATAAGACATTAAAATGTTGTTCAGTTGTTCCTCCAGCCAAGGTTACACAGTCCATAATGACACACACACCTCATAGACAGAAAGGCATTGTTACAGACATGTGATATACTGTAGTTTATTGCTTTTTGGTGGCTGCTACCTCCACAGGGAGACCCCAATGGATCCCAAATCATTCATTTTAACACTGCTGTACCAACATGTCTGTGTCTTCACCAAGTGTGAACCTATCATGGCATCACCCATTGGTTTATGGAGTACCATCTTGAAGCCTTGAGTTTGGTGTTATGGTCGTCCCCATTCCAGTTTGTCAGAGCCAGTGGAGGTGACATACTGCGAGTTGAGCTGCTCTCATTGACTGTGCATTTTCGACTTATTCATAGCAAGAAACAATGGCGGCTCGCATGGTGAGACACAATCTTGTATTATAGCCTTATTGCCTTTATTTGATAGGGACAGCCGACGATAGACAGGAAGGGGGTAGAAAGAGGGGATGACACGCAGCAAAGGGCCGCAGGTCAGATTCGAACCCTGGGCCGCTGCAGCGAGGACTCAGCCTCAGTACGTGGGTCGCCAGCTCTACCCACTGAGCTAACCGGGCGCCCCTAGTTTGACAGTTTGATCTGAGTTTCGAGAATGACCTGTCAATCACAAGGTAGCCACGCCCTAAAGCATACCCTGCTTTATCATCTATTTTACTCTAAATTGGACCGTAATTTACTAAATGAACATCATGCTGTATGGAAGAAGACTTGAAACTAGTGATTAAGACCATAAACCCATTAGGAAACTGTTTACTGAGCTGCATAGTATCGGTATGTTATTTCAGCCCATGGACTTCCCCCTGCTGGCCATTACATAGAATGCAGGTTTAAGAGACTTCCATGTTGGCTTCACTTCACAGACACAGAAGCTCTGTCCATTATAGATACATGTCAATGGTCTTCACCAGTGCCACTGGTAATATGAGTGTGTTCCCCAGTATGACCCCGACAAGAAATTGCATCTGTTTCTCATTCCTATTCTAATTCTTAGAATTAATTTTTTTCTTTCAACCTCTGTGTTTTTTTTACTTGTGTATTATTTTTCACACACTTGTGTATTTTGCACAAGAGTAGCAGAAAAAAAATACTTGAGACAATACACAACTAACAACACTAACATAACATAATACATAAAACAAACGCAGCATCAACTTCGTAGCCAAGAACAGTATCAAAAAACAATCGTCACCCAAAGCCTCTATGCAACATCTTGGTATTTTTCTGCATGTACAGCAAAGATCAACAACAGTGAGTGTGAAAGAGAGCTGATACCTGCGAGTCTTTGCAACACAACTGATATTGCACCAAACCCTTATGCCTATCCTTGTCGATGGTGGCCTCACATACTGGTGGCTCCATAAATACAGGCCTCGCCTCCAGACCCTTCACAGGCCTGGCTCCAGGAGGAAGCCCCAATTCCTTATTACAATGAGGTTATTAACATTTTTGTTATAACATTAACCAAAAACGTTAATCGGCATTTATGTAGTGAAGAGTGCCTAATGATTTATTAAGGACTCAGAGTTTAGGACTTGAACTTGTGTTCACTGTAAAAAAAAAAAAAAGTCAGAGTCATGGCTTAAGACTTTACTTTTTACTTTCAGAACAGTACTTTCTACACCCAAACATGACTGCATTCTACAAGGAACTGTATCTCAGTTTTGATTGGTCATGTTCTGCTTGTCATGTTTGTGTTACTTCCAGAACATCAGTATAAAGGTTATGAAACTTCTTTTGTTTGTCCCAGTAGGGAGGAGAGGTTATAGCAGTCTTGAGTTTTCTTTCGATTGCCCATCTGTCAGACGGAGAACTGAATCTGTGAGATGACTGGAATCTGTCTGATATGGCAAAATCGCGTATACAAAATAACAATTACACATCACAACATCACATTCATTCTTAGCTCTTTTTTAATGGGTGTTCTGAATTACAGAATCTCTGGACATGTTTTGGTATAGGATAATTATCTACTAAAAATATCATGTTTATTAGTAAAAGAACCACACTTTTCTATAACTAAATTCTATGACCATTGATTCATCTGTTGTTTAAGCTGCTTATCCTGTGTAGGGTTGCAGATATTCTATAACAAATAATTGTTTTAATTATTTAGTCGTAGTCATTGTCTCCACTTACTTTTGAAACACTTGGACTTTAACATTTCTTCGCTCTTTTGCAATCACACATCCTCAAAAGACAAATTAACAAATATATGTTTGTGTGTTATTACTAGAATCATGGAAAACTTAACACAGATTTTGTCATTTGTGTTGGGTATGTATGGTAACATGGGACAGTTAAAGTACTTGTATTTCACTCTGGCAATGCTGTTTTACATATCCGTTATTTTTTCCAACACAATACTTATTGTCATTATTTATATGGACAGAAATCTGCACGAGCCCATGTATCTATTCCTGTGTAATTTGTTTGTTAATGAAATATATGGCAGCACGTCTATGCTGCCTTGCTTGATGGTACAAATCTTGTCAGAGACTCATGAAATATCTGCCTATAACTGCTTCATTCAAATATTTAACATTCATACATATGTAGCTATTGAATTTGGAACGTTAACAATAATGGCATATGACAGATATATATGCATTTGCAAGCCTTTACATTACAATGTCATAGTAACCAAAAGAATAGTACAAAAGGTCATTCTTGTTATTTGGACAGTTTCTTTCATAGAGGTTGGAGTTTTACTGTCATTCACTATTAATTTAAAGCGTTGTGGGACTGTTATCAACAAAGTTTTTTGCGCACATCACCTTGTAGTTGAACTTTCCTGTTCATCAGACAGAACAGTGTCACTTATTCACGATTTTGTGTTTGGCCTCATTTTCACTGTTGCTGCTCCTGTCAGTTATATTGCATTCACTTATGTCAAAATTTTGGCAGTGTGTTCAAAAGCTTCCAAAGAGACCAAAATGAAGGCTTTTGATACCTGCACTCCACATTTTATTTCACTCATCAGCTTCGTCTTTGCCTGTTTTTATAGTTTGATCACTCAGAGATTTGACATGTTCTCTGTTCCGTACCCACTGTGTGTTTTCTTGTCTATGTATGTAGTGATCATCCAGCCTCTTCAGAATCCACTCATGTATGGTCTTAAACTGTCAAAAATTAGACATGCTTGTAAAAATGTGTTGACATTAAAGACATTACAACTCTACATTTTCATGAGAGTTTAAATTCTACATTTTATTACTAGTGTTATGTGTTTACATGTAGACATACAATACAGTTTAGATTTTGAACATCTGTTCTATTGACAATAAAATGTCACTATATTACAAAACTGAAATCTTCTGGGGTTGTCGACCCTGTAAGAGGCTAGAAATGAGATTAAAGATCTATACAATGTATAACTGGAGGAGTTAGTTCAACTCAAATTGTTTGAGGAAACCGATTGCCTTAAACTGTTTAGATTTTTACCTCCAACAATTTAAGTATTAAAAAGTACAAGTAACTCGAGTATTTATTGTAAACTTTATTTATTGTAAAACTAGTAAGTACATTACACTTATACGCAGCATTTCTCCAGACTTAAAATGTATTATTTATCTGAATAAAGTAAGACTACCTTTAATGCATCTTCTTTGTACAGATTTTACCACTAAATCTTCCACTAAAGGAAATTATTATAATAACTGTCAAAACAGCTGACGTATGATAAAAAATACAAAAAACATTTACAATTATCAAAATGGTAGCCAATTAATTTTGGGGCTTACACTTTTGTAATGATATATAGTCAACTTAAAATCAATGGATTATACAGTGTAGGGTCCAGCATAGTGGCATGAAGGACGAATGTCAAAATCAGAAGAAGCTTTATTGACATACAAGGAATTTGTAATATTAATATATATTAATCTTTATTGTCCACAAATGTGGCAATTTGCCTTTGGCTTCACAGGTTGATTAAAACACATCATTGTAAATCACAGTACAAACTATTACAAATAACACAACATGCACAGTACAGTCAACGATAATGGATATGGTTCCTGTGTGTTTATGAACTGAGCAAAGCTGCTGCAGCTGCTCTACAGTGCATCCTAGAGGACAATTTTATGAATTCATTAATTGTCTTTGCTCTCAATTATAAATTGTTACATTAAATACTAGGAAATAACAGCTAAAAACATTTTCCACAAATCATTTCCCCTTTTTTAGCCACATCTTTGCTTGATTTGATATATATAAATATATATTTATTGCCTTTAATGGATAGCGACAGTTGAAGATAGACAAGAAAGGGGATGACACATAGCAAAGCTAGGGCTAATTAACAGATTAAGCAGTTTAAAGGTCCAGTGTGTAGGATTTAGTGCCATCTAGTGGTGTAGTTGCAGATCGCATCTCCCTTGCCTCACCCTCCCCTTCCAAGTGCAAATAAGACATTCGGTGGAGACAAAACCCGCAAAAAACAGTGTTTGGTTTGTTCCTTTAGGGCTACTGTAGAAACATGACAACTCAACATGGTGGATACCATGGAAGGTTACCTGTGGCAACAAAAACACAACAATTTTTATTATTATTATAAAGTAATGAAAACATACTTATTAATATTATGTTCCCTGTAGTGGAGTGAGCAGGGGTGGGATGGGGGCTTCAGGTCCAAGGTTCTCTACATTTACAAAGGCTGGCATTCTTATGGGTAAGTATCATATTCACTAGACATATAGCAAATGGAGGAATAGAAAACCAAAAATGCATTCCAGTAACACAACACTAAAGATTTGTGGGGACATTTCATGTTTTGATTTTGGAAAAAAAAAAAAGAAAATGCCTGGACATTAATATTTATTGTCTGTTTGTTAATGACTATATGTTTTTAATTCTGTAAATCATTTAATTTCCTTTCATGTATGTATTTTCATGTTCCTGTATGTTTGTCATATATAAAAAAAACCTGCATTTTTGCTGTTTATATTGTCATGACCTGGCTCTGGAGCCGTGACAAAAGATGAATTTCAAACTATAAGCAATTTGTTTCAACATATCAACATAAACACAAGCATTGCTGGCATCCATGTGCAGTTTACCTGCTCAAATGCTTGCAAAGCCCAAAGATCATCACTGTATAGGCGTAAAAACCAGTTGGTGTGTAAACGCAGCTATCCCACTCACTCACAGGGACAAGGGAACCTGCCAATATCCTTTTAGCAGATCGAACTTGCTGACGAACTTTGCTGAGCCTACCCGATCTATGCAGTCCTTCATTCTGGGTAGGGGACACGATTCAGGTTTAGTGACATTATTCACTTATGAAAATCAGTGCAGAAACGTGGCACATCAGATTTTGGAACTAGCATAAACATAGTGAGGACCAGCTGGAAGAACAGGGCTCTGAAATACGATATAATTCACCTCTGCATTCAAGTACTTCAGTTATTCGCATTTACGTCATACAACCTTTGCTTAATTGGCTTAGCGTCTCCAACATCATGCTCAATTAAGTGGGTGCGGCTAGGGGTGTCACCAAACAAACACAAGCCGCATGCCCCTGACCAACATCTGGCTGCGTATAGGAAGATGGACCAGAGGTGTGTGCATAATATGGCTTAAGCAGGTTACATAGCAAATTTGACTTTTCTTTCCACTGCTAGGTGTTGAAATTATGAAATTCTGCTCAGAGATCTGTTTCAAAACTGAGAGATGACTTCCTTCATTAGAATTACGAGAATAAAGTCATAATATTACTAGAATAAAGTCATAATATTAGGTCTACAAGAATAAAGTCGTAACATTACGACCACCAGCACTGTAAGACAAGTTTGTGCATTCCTTGGTTTTGTGGGGTATTATAGGCAGAACTTTGCTAAGATTGCTAAACCCCTTAACAAACTCTTAGCTGGTACAGGTTGCAGCAGAGGGCGACGCTCACCCTCAATTCAGTGGACTGAGCAATGTGAAGTGTCTTTCCAGCAGCTTAAGCAAGAGCTTTTTCAAGCTCCCATTTTAGCGTATGCTGATTACACCTTGCAATTTATTATTTAGGCTGATGCCCGTAATTGTGGGCTTGGTGCTGTCCTGGCTCAGGAGCAAGATGGCCTGGAACGGGTCATTGCATATGCCAGCAGGAGCCTTTATCCACCTGAACATAATGATGCCAACTACAGTTCGTTCAAACTGGAGTTTCTCACTATGAAGTGGGCCATAGTAGAGAAGTTCAAAGACTATCTGTGGGGGCCGAAAGTTACAGTAGTGACAGATAACAACCCACTGGTGCACCTTCACCTTCGTTAGGTGCTGTGGAACGAAGATGGGTTTCACAATTGGCCAACTTTGATTACACTATCAAATATCGCCCTGGAAAAGACAATGCCAATGCTGATGTTCTCTCTAGGCTTCCTGTGTTTCCACAGGCTCTGGTCAAATGGGAAAGAGGCCAGAGGCGGAGCAGGTAGTGAGCGTGGTGGAAGGCCCACCTTTCCTACAGGTCTTGCCTGGGGTTGGGACTCAGAATGATGGAGGACAGTGCAAGCTGAGGACCCTGCTCTTTGTAAGGTGAAAGAATGCCTGGAACAAGGTGAGTTGCCTAATGCTGCAGAGAGACAGTCACTGACTATTGAGCAACTGGAAGACATTAGAGTTAGGATAGGGTGTTGTATGCAGAAATGTAAAAGATTCACAGACGCTTGAGACTCTGCAACAGATTGTTCCCCTGGTGCCCAAGCTAAATCACTATGGGAGGCTTACCACCAACAGGCAGGACATCCAGGGCTGGAGAGGACATTGTCCTTCCACACATTGTTGTATTTTTACTGGGCCCAGATGGAGGAGACTATACGTGCTGGGATTCAAGCCTGCCCACGCTGTGTATTGTACAAAGCAAGACCACAAGGTAAAGCTCCTTTAGTCCACATCATACCCAAAGCACCAATGCACATATTGGTGGTTGATTGCCTGACTCTAGGCCGTCCTACAGACAGGTACCAAAATATACTAGTCATGACAGATATGTTCTCCAAGTTTGCATGGGCAGTACCCACTTCAGACCAAACAACAGCCCAGGCTTTGTGGACCCATTTTATCCAGCTGTTTGGGTGTCCTGAAGTGCTCCACTGAGACCAAGGCCCTAACTTTGAATCCAGATTGATTAAAGAACTGTGTCAAATCTATTGGTGTCGCAAAAGTTGGAGCACTCCCTATAATCCAATGGGGAATGGGGCCTGTGAGAGGTTCAGCCAGACTCTCCTGAACCTCCTATGCACCATGGAAGCTGAAAAACAAAGTAGATGGGTGGAGTACTTACCGGGACTAGTTCAAGCATATAATAACACTGTTCATGGCTCCACAGGATATGCCCTAGCCTTCCTTATGTTCGGCCGACACCTGAGGACCCCTGTGGATATGTTGGGTGGAACTGGTGGACCCACTACATCTGACAGTGGTACTATGGACTGGGTGAGTAGGCATCACGAACAGTTACACTATGCTTAGAGGAAAGCATCTGACAAGAATAAAAGGCTGTATGACCGGACTGAACGAGGGGCCCGGTTCTGGACCAGAGAAGGTGACAGGGGGGCAACTCAGTGACAGGTGGGAGGAGTAGCCATACGTGGTGGTCAGTTGGCCGCATCCAGAGCGCCCTGTATACCGCATAAGGCCCGAGGGCAAGGAGGGGCCTGAGCGCTCCCTTAATCGCAACCTCCTCCACCCATGCCTCCATTACTTGCCCCAGAGGACAGCTGCGGCTGAAAATGGCCAGACAAATGACAACGCCACTTGTGACGGGGGTGTGAAGCCCCGATTTAAAACTGGCTTACTGATTGATAGAGTGCTCCATAGTAGAACTCAAACTAAATCGGGACTTCACACCCCCGTCACACAGTGCTAAGGTGATGTTAGTTTAATGTTATGCTTCACACAGACATGTCTTTGCATGCAACTAACTCCCTTTTAACGACACCATTAATCTAAGATCACACACGCACATATTAACCTAATAAGCCTAAACCTCAGCACACACAAGGAGAGGGCACTCAAACCCTCCCGTTCCTCCATACTCTCTCACCAACACATGTTTCATACTCTGAAACATCTGGTCAGAAGACAAAGGACACACACCTTTTCTGGCACGCAACCCCCCATGTGCGCACACACACACACACACACACACACACACACACACACACACCTTTTTCCTCTAACTTAGTTCCTTTAAGTTAAATTGCACATTGTGTATTTTCCACTGTTTACGTTTATTATCTCATTAATAAATGTTTGTGTTTATAAATGCTGGCCTGCAAGAGTGGGTGATTCCAACCTTTTCTATGCAGAACTCCAAAGCCTTCCACTGTAACTATTGATAATGATTTTGGTAGTAGTTATTAATTTAATCATTAATCCAATTTCTGAATTAATAGTTTAGTGTATTTTTATGAGACTGATCAATCAATTATTGGCCATCGTTTCCCTTATTTAAGGGTGGTGCCTTGAGGATCTTTAAGATTAATTAAAGTCATTTTCTATTATCTTTTGATAATTATAAACTTTCATAACCATTAATTGATTAAAAGACGACCACACCATTCACAAATTTGGACCGTGCTGCAAGGCGCAAAGCCCAAACCAGTAGGCC